ATTCAGATAATAAATGTTGTTTAATACTGTTTATTATAAATAAAATATCTTTTACTTAAAATATTTGTATCTAAAAAAAAGAATATTTAAACAAAAAATATCTTAAAATAATCAGTCGAACTTTGTCCATTTCATAATGTTTGACGTCATAGATGTATATATATATATATATATTTTACACAACACACACACACATGTTTACACATATATACATCTTATATATATATATATATATATATGAATATATATATATATATAATATATATATATATATTATATATATATATACATATATACAAACATAATATATATATATATATATATATATATATATAATATATATATATATATATATATATATATATATATATATATATATATATATATATATATATATATATATATATATATAATTTAAAATAATGTTCCAGCCTACCAAAGATGATGACCGTTTGGAAAAAAACCTGGTGCTAAAGGTTTGGATAAAACGGTTGGTTTAATATAATGATTCGGAATTGTTAATTAGAGAATTGAGTTCCAATTTTATTTGGTTTGTTATAATAAACTTACAAAAAAAATACCTTTTTTAAAGTTAAGAATAAATGGACTTGGATGCTGGGGATTAATTTTAGGTCTCTTACTAGAAAATCATTATTATTTCTAAAATATTCTTAGAAATCTAAAAAATATTTTTTCGCTTTAAATAACACGCAAAATGTTGATAAGCCGTAAAAAAAAACCCCAAAAAGCAACAAATCAATTATTCTAATCTTTTTCATTATAAAATTTTTGATTAACCGTAGGTAGATCTATAATTTAATAATATTGGTTTTGGGATAGATAGTTGGAAAATTTTTCGCATCAGACTCATATTTATTGCTTTTAAATTTGAATAAAAATAGTTATGGCTTGAATAAAGTTACTCGTTGTTAAATAAAGTTTTTATATATTTGAAAACAGCTAAAAAAATTTTATAAAAAGGCAAAATATATTAACTTGAAATATTGAAATAAAAATTGAACTAATGGGATGTTCATAGCGTCGTCTGTAAGTAATCAGTCTTTACCTATAGACTGAAGTTTAGACGACCAATAGGTAATTAACTTAATTAAAAGTAAAAATACTTACAGGGGCTCACCAATAAACGATTGTTAATAAGTTAATATTAGATTTAAAATAATTTTTTTTATATACAATCAAGTATAAACGACCAATAATTTCTTATAGACTCAAGTATAAGCAATCAATATTTGTCAACAGACCTAAGTGTTGAAAGGCAATGTTTAGCTAAAGACAGATGTGTAAACAAACAATTTTTACATCCAAGCAACCAATATTTACCTATTGACTAAAATATAATTTTTAGATAATGACTAGTTTCGTCATTGAAAGTCTGACCTGTCGTAAGCTCTATCAACTAGCGACCGATATAACTGATTTCGGAAAAGTTGAGAATGTCGAAAGCAGTCCGAATAAATAAAATTTTGTTCGTGGTCTTAATAATTTTCTTTTCATCCCCTGTAACTATATTTTCCCAAAATTATTTTTTATGAACTGGAATTTACTGGAGGACTATATAGTTTTATACGGCCGAGCAATCTTGTGATTTTAGATAGAATTCGTAGACACAGAAATCCGTACACGGATTTTCGCATGATATGGTCACGATAAAATCTATAATAAAGAATATGAAGGAATAAAATTCTCTTTCAAACTCCAAACAGACTGTAGAAATGCCTGGTAGTCTTATTTGTCCTATATGGATGCGGAACGTGAATTGTGACGTCAGGAACAGAGAGTCCTCTCTCTGTTGTTTCGGACAAATGCATGATGTGACGACCAATGTGACTTGGTATTGGTCGCGGCGCCAAATGTGACGTTCTAACCCTTGGCTGATTCGGATGGGAATCTGGTTAGATTCGGTATCAGCTTTGTCGTTCCCAGCTCGCCTCCAACGTCTGGTTACCGAAGTAACTGCTTTGATTTCTAGTCTAACCTACCCACGTTGTGATTTGATCTTAGGTAGACGAAATCAATCAGTCGCCGGGCCGTAATGCAAACCGAGTCCGAGCAAAGGTAACACCGCACAAGTATATGTAAAAAGAAAATAAAGTAACAACTCGAAAAGTTCAAATGTGTTAAAAAAAGAATAACAAATATTTTATATCTGGTTTCTGAATACAGGACTGATTCTTTCTCCCAAACCGCTTCTATATGGATTCGTGACACTTTGTGTTTGTTAGGCGAGTCTTAACATCTTAAGTTGTTTTTTTCAATAAACTGGTTTTTGTATCTTCAGGCGATATTCGTAAAACTTGTTTTTGGTGGTGTGAGTCTAAGTCGTTCTTCAAAAAAAATTGTTTTTGGTTAGAAGTTGAAGTCGGAATGCGTGGATCTTCAGTCAGCTTTCTGCGAGGTTGGTCTCAGAGCTCACAGCTCAACTCTGTAACTCTTCTCTCTCTCTCTCTGCCAACCCCAACTCTCAGCTACTAACTCTGCTGCGACGTTGTTTATATGGACGCCGACCAAAACCGGGTGTGGGCCTGTCGTGGTTTTGGGTTCTTCGATAATTCTAAATCCACAATAAGGATTTTCTTTGTTTTCGGACAGGAAAATTTATCACTTTCCATTTTTGGAAGTCAATTACTTTCTTGTTTTAGAGGGGTTCTTAAGGGAAATCCTCCCAAATTCTTCCTTGGTCCAAAAGGGGGCGTTCAGGTTCCTTTCTTTCATATTGGTATCTCACCAATCCCTTCAGAGGCGTCAACAGGGTTCCCTTCTTTCTCATATGTTTACCTTCGACCATCGCTCACGCCACCATTCAGCCAATGAACGCTCAGCAGTGTGGGTGTGGCTAGACTGGCCTCAGTTTAAAAAATTTTGCTCAAAGAAAAAAAATTATCTTCCTTTTTTTTTTTTTTCTTAAGTTTTTTTTCTATCTTAACTGAATGTCATCAGGAATTTATCTTAACTGAATTTCGTCTGGAGTATTCATCGAGATTTTCGCCAAGCATCAAATGGGTGGTTATCCTGGACGTCTTGCACTTTCTGTCGCTAATTATCCATTCCGGTAAAAAACTTTTTATCATGGCCAGGTCTGGACATAAAACAGATGGTTTTTTTCAAAAACCAAATGATATCTCGAAAAAATAGTTAATGGGTTTTTTCCTTTTCTCTTCTCTTTTTTCTGGGGTGGTCTCAGCTGACATTTTTTCTCGGTCGATGCTGACCGATTTAATTCTGATTATCTTTTTAGCATTCTGCCCGTAGGCCAATTGACCAATTTGAAATTTTCATTATTGCCATGGGCAGATTGCTATCTTTTATTCGCCGCGTCATAGCATAAATTAATTCTGACAGATCCGGGATCTTACGAATTTCCTATCTTCCTGAAAAAAAAATATTTTTTTTCGCAAATGAAAATAAAATCTTTACCACTTTTTCTTTGTTAAAAAAAATAACATCGCTCAGTATGTCTTTCGTGGTAGCTTCTTCTCGCCTTAAGTATTTCTCGCTTTTAATTTTCACGCTTAATTAGTTAGCCAAACGCTATATAGTGTCACAATGAGAAAACTCTTTGGCATTTTCTAGTGGGAACATAAAACGAATGAGTTTGTGCGTTACAAGGCACGACAGCCCGTGCAAGACCATCATGCAAGACACCGTTGAAGGTAGACGTAGGAAAGGACGCCAGCGTAAACAACTGGTTGGACAATGTCAAACAATGGACAAGTATGACTACAACAGAACTGCTGATGGCTGCCTTTGATAGACCGTTGTGGAGGAGATTCAATATCGCTTCCGCATTCGGATCTCCCCCAACGATTACAAAAGTCAAGGGGATGATGATGATGATGATAGATAGATAGATATATATTACATGCGGCAGGAACACCTTCCACGTTTCAATCGGTCACTTGTGTGGTGCTAATGATTTTAGGCAAGTGGCAATGACATCTTCATCTTCCTAATGTCTTACGATGTATTAAGATACCATGAGTTATCATCATGGCTTGTATCTGGTGAATCTGTAATTGCAACACAGGGAACATTTCATACTCATCTAATGTTACGTCGAAATGATGCTGTTCCGGATAGAAAATCGATACTGTTATGGGTTGAAAATTCCAAGGCCAAAGGTTCAGCGCTTAAAAGATGACCACATGGGAGACCGCGAAGCTCTCGAAATTCAGGGCGATGGAAAAGTTCATCCATCTAATGCCTCACCATTGTTTTTTCAGATTCCATCAGGCACCATCATGGCTTGGACCGATGCACACCGTGCGTTTGCTTTTGAATCGTGTTTTTTTTTTTTAAAAGACTGGTGAATCTGTAATTGCAACACAGGGAACATTTCGTACTCATTTCATGTTATGTCGGGATGATTCTGCCCCGGATAGAAAATTGATAAATTTCAGGCTCACAGATTCAGCGCCTGAAAGAAAGCCACCCGGAAGACCTCGAAGCTCTCGAACTTACAGGTGATGGAAAATTTTAGAAATCGTCTACAACATGGTATGGCAAATAGTCGCCACCATTTGCAGGATTTCATTTTAAAAATCAAATGAATAAAAACCATAACCCCTTTTGTTAAACAACGGCGAAATAGTTTGTTTTTTTGTTTTTTGGGGTTTTTTTTTTAATAACAGTCACCTTGATCTTTATGTCAACCTTTAAAATGTAGGAGGTATTTCTGCCGCACCCTGTATAACACGTCCCCTGAGAAAGTTTAATTTCCGAAGAAGGTAGCCACATACATTCACGGAAAATAAAATGTGGGAGGCATTTCTGCCGCACCCTGTATAATGTTTAAGTGTCGACCAATGTTCAAATCCATCTGCCTGAATTTTTCTTAAGACCTGCAAGTTATTTAATTGATTGATTGATCAAGCAATAAAGAGTGATGAGAATTTCATAAACACTTCTAAGATTTTTCTAACACGGCACAAAAGAGATTGCCCTGCAGACTTTTGTATCGTATTATTATGATATTGTTTTAGCTCAGTGCATTTTTCAAATATAAAACGAAAGTAAAACGCGAGGCAACTCTGATGCTTACTGGTAAGAAATTGGAAGAAATCCATTTATAAAAGGCTGAGGCGGATTGCATTTCTGATTCAATTGATTATTACAAGAAAATGGAGGGTTTTTTTTGTAATAATCAGTTGCATCTTGTAATAATCGTTGTTATCAGAAATAAAATCTGAGTAATATGAATTGTTGTAATGACATTTCTTATATGAGAGATTCTGTACGTCTCGAAAGATAGGCGCAAAAAAGACAGGCAGATAAAAATGATGAAGCACTTTCCAAAATACCGATAGTATCTCAGCCACTCTGATCTATCTATCTATCTATCTATCTATCTATCTATCTATCTATCTATCTATCATAATCTGCTATCTATCTATCTCAATCCGCTTAGATCTATCTACCACAATCTGCTTATCTATCTATCTATCTATCTATCTATCTATCTATCTATCTATCTTTCTATCTATCTCAATCAATTTAAATCTATCTATCTACAATTTCTCATCTATCTATCTATCTATCTATCTATCTATCTATCTCAATTTTAGATCTATCTACCACAATCTGCTCATCTATCTATCTATCTATCTATCTATCTATCTATCTCAATCCGCTTAGATCTATCTACCACAATCTGCTCATCTATCTATCTATCTATCTATCTATCTATCTATCTATCTATCTATCTATCTATCTATCTCAATCTGCTTAGATCTATCTACCACAATCTGCTCATCTATCTATCTATCTATCTATCTATCTATCTATCTATCTATCAGTTTGCACATATCTGTTTATCTTCATATCTTTGCCTGTTAGAATATATTCCACACTGACTCTCTGCATCTATCAATTGGCTTATAAGCCAATCTTACGCAAGGCACTAAACATTAAATTCACAAAGCATTATATTGGTTTTTCCTGCAAACTATTATTCTACAGAGATGAGCTATCTGAAATTGCATGTATGCCTTTTTTTCTTTGTAGAAATAAAATCCTATTTGATTCATGCTAACTCTGTGAAGCTTTTTAAAAATGTGATGAGAAAAAAATGAAGTTACATTTTGTATTTCTGATCGGTTGGGTTGCTGTATTTTGCAACAGACATGTCATCCATTGTTGGTATTTTTAATGTCGAAATCTGTATTTTATTCTACTGGAGTATATCGTTAAACATTTGGTTGGTTTTATACGTAGTAGCCTTTGTTGTTCTTGAGTTTCTTTTAACCCATTACCGGTTTACGGTCAAATCACATTGAAACACCGATTACCGTACGATCACCGAAGTTAAACTTTGATGTTTGAGCGGTATGAAACATCATTTCTCGTACGATCATCTAAGTTAAACAACGTTGAGCGTGGTCAGTGCCTAGGTGGGTGACACTTTGGGAATACCAGGTGCTGTAAGCATGCATATGCGTATGATGTAATGGATAATGGCTCGGAATTGTTAATCGGAGAGACGAGTTCCAATTCTAGTTGGATTTCTTATATTTATTAACTCACAAATACCCTTGTGAAATATATGAATCCGCATTTTCTTTCCCCCAGCTATGGGTTAATTAGTAGGACTGGTCTCAGCAAATCATTATTTTCCCCAATAATGCTTATAATCTAAAAACTTTTTCTGGCTTTAAATAACCTGCAAAAGGTTGATAAACCGTAACAAACAACGCAATCAATAAATTAACCCTTCACCCATCCTTTTTGGATTTACTCGTTCACACAAACAAACATGTGTATTCCCTTGGTTCTTTTGCTTTCAGTATGTCATGTGAGTGTTTCTTTAGGCCACCTTTCCTCATTATGTGTCCAAGAATTATTTCGTAGCAGTTCAATACTTTTAGCAATTTTTGGAAGGTATTTTTCGCTATGGCTCTACACCTTGGGATTTCTGTGTTACAGTTTCCTTCGTCTATTATTATTACACTCTCCAGATAATTAAATCTCTATACCTGGCTGATTTTGACGTCCCCAATGTGTAGCTCAAATCTTAGGATGTATCTTTTGCTGACAACTCTGCATATCGTTTTCTTTTCTTGTAATAGTCCTTTCTTCTTGCTTTCCTTTACTAATTCGTCTAAGAGTTTTTTCAGTTATCAGTTCACTTTGTACGGCTTATCAATTCTTTATTTAACGCCAGAAAATGTTTTTAGATCGTAAGAATAATTTTGACATCGTAATGCTTTAGTGATACAAGTCTTACTAATTAACCCATAACTGGGGGGAGTAGAGGTGGATCCATAAATGAATATATCTGCCATCGATATACAGGGTGTCCATAAAGTTCATGTGCATAAATAAGTTATAAATTATTTAAAGTGCACATGAACTTTATGGACACCGTGTATTAACATGAGCGTATCTTATATCCTCCAATAGTAAATCCTGATAGGTCATCTAATTCTTTTCGGGTTGTCGTGCTTCATAGGGATTACGACTATATCACGTTGTAACACCGGTTCCCGTATGATCACAAAAGTCAGTCCCTAGATGCGTGCCCGCTTGGGAACACCAAGTGCTATAAGCTTGGATATGCAGATGGTGTAATGGATAATGGTACGGAATTGCCGAGTTCCAATTCCTGGTAGGTTTGTTATATTCACTTATGGAGAAAGGCATGAATCCACCTCTACTCCCCCCAGTTATGGGTTAATTAGTAAGACGTGTATCACTAAAGCATTACGATGTCAAAATTATTCTTACGATCTAAAAATATTTTCTCGCGTTAAATAAAGGATTGATAAGCCGTACTAGTGAACGAATCAATAAAAAATACACATAAGTAATCGTTCTAAGAAACGTGGCTGACTAAAATAAACGGTATTTGTTGAGAAGTGTAATTGGTTTTAAAAACATTATAATTTTATTTTAAATATTTCGTGTATCAAATGCAGCTAATGGAATCGGCAGAAATCTTTGTAACTGTATATAAGAAAGTCTGAAGGGACCTCCTCGAAGTGGTGTAATGGTTAGCAAGCTTGTCTCGCTTGAACGATTATAACTGAGTAATGAGTTCGATCCTTAGTGGGTGTCCCATACTTTCGGCTTTGTGCTACATATGAGCTACTCTTGGAAAATCACTGTAAGAAAGCATAAGAGCAATACATTCCGAGTCACATAAACTGACTCTGCCAAAAGAATAATAATATTTTAAAAAAATCAAATACGTTTTAAAATAACTTCCCCACTTGTGAAAGATATATTTGATGTGGGTTGATTGATTTGTATGGAAATAATATGCAGCAACGTTTCTGTTTTATCACTTATTATTTTTTCCTTCCCACTAATAGTAGATAGGTTCGGTTATCACCCAGTTCATGTTCCTCCCCGATTTTAAGAACAGGAGTAGAGGTTTACCCCTTTTTTCTTGTTTAGGATTAAGTTTTCAGTTTCTTCAACTTTGTTCTTCTTACGTCTCCGCCCGAAAACTGCAATTTTATTTAGTAATTATTATTATTACCTTTTCCCAATAGGAGTAGATAGATTCGACAGTCGCCCAGTTCACACTCCTCCCCAGTCTTCTGAACAGGAGCAGATGTTTATCTCTTTCTCCTGTTTAGGATTGAGTTTTTCTTTTTCTGACGTCACCACCAGAAATCTTCAATTTTATTCAGTAATTATCATTAATATTATTATTACTTTTTTCCTCTCCCAATAGGAGCAGATAGACTTGGCTATCGCCCAGTTCACACTCCGCCCCAATCTCCTGAACAGGCGTAGAGGTTCATCCTTTGTTTTCTGTTTACGATTGGGTTTCCGGTTCCTATTAAAGTCTACTTCAAGTTTAATACTCCTAACGTCTTCGCCTGAACACTGATGTTTTATTCGTTAATTAAAACCTGACCTCTTTTAGTCTCGAATTAGATATCTTTCCGTTTATCTTTCTTACGCTAATATAACTCCATAAAGTAACCATCTATCTTGAGTAGTCCTTGGGCCTTTGTAAAATATTTGTAAAAAGAAATAAAGAAAAAAGCCATATAATTTTATAATTATGTTGATATGGCCGCATATTATTTTTTAGTAACCTGTAAAGGATTGATAAATCGTAGAAAAAGAAACAACAAAAATTGCTACAGATGTTAAAGAGATTTTTTAAGCATCCCCCCCCCCCAGCAAGGCGGGAGTTCCACTAGCACACAAAGCTTTACAGAGAGTGGGAGCAAGAAGGACGGGGAATTAGATGTCGATTGGCATTGCATTTGAATATTTGAAGATTATAGCTATCAGGGAAGCAAGTAAGATGAAGGGAGTTCCACACACAGGAAGTGCGAGACATGAAGCTATGGGAGAGGGCTACATTTAACTGTTTCAACGGTGAAAGGGTGGGACTGAGATGCCAACTTAGTAGCGGGAGTTCCAGACCATATATGGCAGCAGTATTTCATGCAAGGGCGGATGGTTGATTTATAGATTTGAAAGATAGACTCGAGCGAGAAAAACGTTCTGCTTCGCCACAGAGGACCAAATTTCCTTGCGGTAGATGAAGTTATTGATTCAATATATTTGTTCCATCTCAGGTCGGCGGACAGTGTGAGACCAAGCAGTTGCAGAGAGGTACACTCGTGGAATTGAGCATCAGATATTCTAATGGGAGGCAGGGAGGGTTCTCTATGGTGGGTAAAAGAGAGCAGTTTTGTTTTGGAAGCATTAAAGTTAACCAGCCATTTCTTTCCCCGGTCAACAACAGATTGGAGGTCCTTTTCGAGACCAACGGCCAGGTTAGTTTCGTCAACGATGCCGGATTTGCTATTGAAGCAGGAGTAAATAGTAATGTCGTCTGCATAGATGCCTCCAAGAAACGTATACTTGTATTTCTTGGCTTACTATCTGAATAGGACTAATATATGTATAAGGTAAATGCGCGCTAATTATTTTACTGTAGTAAAGCAATGTACATGATTTTACTATAGAAATGAAGCGTAAATCTTTTTGGCATAAGCTGCAGTATCCTTAATGATACCATTTGCATAATTCCAACTAGAACAGTGTTTCTATCATGTCTTACCTGTTGCCATATTTCTTTTGAGTTCTCTATCCACATTAAGATATGAAATGGTATGCTCTATCGAATTATTGTTTATTTCTTTTGATTTGATGTTTGATCAAGGCGATAGCAAGTGCAAAGCCTTGCAACCACGTAACTCGTGTCTCTGACTGGAGGTCAGATTTAACTCGCTGGGTATAAACAGTTCTGTCTGTTTAGGAAGAATTTTTTGCCAAAGAACTTTGATTCAAAGTTTTGTAGTTTTTCATTTTACGCTTTCGTTGGACTTTCTAAAGTTTATCATAGAAGATGCACTGAAATAAATATATTCGCTTATTTTTCTTTCTTTTGCGTTGCAAGGTACGCCATTTTAGGTTTATTGACAAAAATATTTTACAGCGCGAAATTTATAAAAGCAAAAAAATGTCCAACTGAAGCGAAATTTGTCACATATATCTCATCTCTCTAAACTTTGTTTTTGATAACGACACGGATTTTGAAGATTAAATTTTATTTTTCATATATTATTCGTACTTTTGTTTCTCACAGATATCTTTTTTTTTTCTAATTTAGGGAGTTTCAATCCGTACGAGAATTCACGGCGAAAAAGCATAAACAAACTACACCT